GACTCACAGCGAGCAGGGATCCTCCTCGGTCAGGTCCGACAGGTAAACATTAGCAAAGTGGATGAAGAGCATCCCGATAGCCTGTTTGGAAGTATCCAGGAACCTGCCGTGGGAAAACAATCACATCACGTAGTCACATACTTCTTGGTTCGGGCACATGATTATGGATCCCACTGGGGTTGTAGGCAGGACACGCCCTCATGCATCAGAGCCAGATGAAACGACATTCTACATGTCACATGCTCATCACCGATCGCAGGGCACACGTGGACCGGGCGCGCTCACAATGGCGCCCGAGGACAATTTCAGAGCGTTCAATCAACCTACTCGGCCGAAATTTGAAATGCGGGCGGGAGAGCATGCCGACTCCACACAAGAAGGCCGGAGCCGGATTCAAACCCATGACCTCCACACAGTGAGGCCGAAGTGCTAAACCGGCGCCCGCCCTGCATGCCCCCCCCACCCAAGTTTGAGAGATTATTTTCTCAACTCTCCTTTTTCAATACGCCAGAAAAGTGCATCCAAGATTTGGTCGAAACAACAAAACGATAGTCCTGCCTCGACCTCTCATGGCATTCACAATCATGCTGTGCGTGCGGCTTCACGTGAAGAGGGCAGAGGAATCGTGATCGTCGACAACTTACCAGATCCTCCAGGGTCTCCTTTCATGTTTGGGCTCCCGGAAGCGTTTCACTGTGCCGGAATGAGAGAGAATGCCGTTAGTGTGACGGTGCAACGGATCAAATGTGCGTGCATTTGCGCCACGGCCCGCTGGAATTCATGAAAGGCTTTGCCTCACGAGGGGGCCGCGAGTCTGCGGCTGAGTTCGGATGGGAGGCGGGGGACGCCCCGGACCGGGCGCCAGCCAATTGCCGGACACGCGTAAAGACCAAGATCAGGGAAACGCACACACATTCTCAAGGCACGCATTCTTTTTCCCCAATCAGGTTCATTTGTCAAAGTCGATTCGGTCACATGCTCGAATTGCTTCTCTCCTGTAGCGCATTTAAAGGGAAGGCAAGGAGGCACCACCCTCGGCCAGGAAACAAGCAGTCTGCGTTTATTCCCGCTACGGCGCAAACCCGTTTTTAACCGCACGCATCCATGACAACTGTCACCTAAACGATAGCAAACTACCATCATTTGTAATTTGACCTTGCCTTCCACAGAATGTTTTTTTTTCTTGCATCCACCTGTCAGGCTACGGTCTACTTCTCGGTTATCTAACTAGGAAGCCGCTGGTTGCTGGAGCGTTCTGATGCATCGATGAACGGCCCGGATGGGCTCTTTGGACGGTACATCGTGCTGTCGCCTGCTCAGTCAGGCATTCACGGGAGCTTTTCTAGCGGGGATGATAAAACCATATCTGGCAGGTGCACGTGAATCTTTTCACATTGGAAGTGTTTCCCAGCTCATCGAGAAGACAGCTCGTCCCAGGAAAGGATGGATTTCATTTCCCCTCGCAAATCGGGGGCGGACCAGGGTGGCGCGTGAGTGCCACGCGAGTGGCCATACTCACGCATGAGGATGCTGAACGCCATCACGGCGAGGAGTCCTTGAAGGAAGATGCCGAACGAGTCCATCAGAGCGCCGTTCTCGCATCCGCCGGTATCAGTAGCAGGGGTCGGGCCCGAGGACGCGTTGCCGAGGGACCAAGCGGGCGGCCCCGCCGCGTCCCCCGGCTTGGAGAGCCCACTCTCAGCCATGGTGTGAAAAATACGGACCGGACGCAGGGGCGGCAGCTCGGACGGTCGCTTTCTTCTCGCGCACAGGCCGCGGACGGCTCTGTCCCGCGGCTGCGGCAGATGTTGGTCAGCTAATCGATCGAGAGAGCGGCACGGCCTTGCGGGAGAGATGGAGACCTCTCATGCTTCCTCTCCTCCTCCGCGCATGGATGAAGTACCTCGAAGATCAAAGAGGGGGCGGGAACTTTTGAATAAACGCCGTCGCGAGACATCGACGGCAACTTCCAAAGGTTCGGCGGGTGACGATGAACATCCGCTGACTCGGGTCAGCAAGTCGACCGAGTCACCGCGCTGAACCCGAGTACAGCAATTTGGATGCGAAAAGCATGATTTCGTTTCGCTAAAACGCCCATTCACCAAAAGAGCGGCACACACGTAGAATTAATCGATACCAAAAAACAAAGAAAAAAAAAAACGAATGATGCTGCTGTACTAGCTTAAGCACTTAGCTTGCAAGCTAACTATTCAGCGCCGCCAAGCTGAAAAAAGGCCGTTCTTGCCGGAGACGTCGAAGGCATTTGAGGGCCCACGCCGTAGTCTCAACGCCGGCTAAAGTGTTCGTCCCGTGGCTTCTAAAAAACCGACTGAGATGAAAAAATTGCAGGTCATGACTCGCTCGCATCGCGCAGCTTCCTCACACAGCTTCTTCACACACTCTTGTTGACAGAGGCGCGAGTCACGTGACACACGCCTTCGCGAAATGTACTCTGGGAAATGAAGTGCGGAAAAGCAGGCCGACAAGGAAATCAAATGAGGTGCCCCAATTTTATTGCATTGCTTTGTTTTGTTTTTTTAATAATTATGTTCAAACTGCATGGAATTGAGTGCAACAATTGATGCACGAGAGAACATATGAATCGACAACCGCTTTTTTTCCCCTTGTTACAAAAACACAAACAGTCCATAGCAGTTGATCACGCTATAAGGCCAGGTGAAATGAAGGGTTTTCTTTTTGTTACAATGCACCGCATTGCTCTTGAAATCTGGCGGTTTATTTGCTGCTCGCAGTGAGTTCATTGAAGAAAAAAAATGGTGGCGCGAAGAGGCCGAAATGATCATCGGCATGAATACTGCTCCGAAGACTTTGTTTTGAAAGAGTAAACTACTGTAGTCTGTGCAAATATAGTGAATATTTAGAGCATTTCCACATTGCTATTAGGATTATTTATCTCAATCATTTCTCATGCAATGACCCTGTCGCACTCCGGATATTTGTGGACGATATTTACAAACATGAAGCCAAGTCAGTATTGCGATACGGTGGACGATAGTACTTGTGCCTGCATTCGTGGCCATGTATCAGAAGGCAACGAGAAAACAATTAGCTCTGTCCTCGCTAAAATCAAGTCATATCATATCACTCCATGAAATAATTCCTGACCGCGAACATTTCGACATCATTACGCCAACTGTCCCGGAGTTGACCTATATTTGTGGACGATATTTACAAACATGAAGCCAAGTCAGTATTGCGATACGGTGGACGATAGTACTTGTGCCTGCATTCGTGGCCATGTATCAGAAGGCAACGAGAAAACAATTAGCTCTGTCGTCGCTAAAATCAAGTCATATCATATCACTCCATGAAATAATTCCTGACCGCGAACATTTCGACATCATTACGCCAACTGTCCCGGAGCTGACCTGAAGGCTTTGTATTGATACATTTTGTTTCATCACTCTGACAGAATGCAATTTCGGTGTCGAAGGGTATTGCCGCGTGCGAGGAAGCAGGTTTGCTGTTTTCCAGCGCTTCGAGCCATATGTGAGACTGACTTTCTTAACGCTTGAATTGGACTGGCGAAAGCCAGCGTAGCGGATTAGGGGGCAAAACAATGTCTGCCACACACAACAACATCAAATATTTACAAGTACTTGTGAAGCAATAGTTAGAGAATAAGTAAATAAAAATCTAATGTGGAGGGGCTGGGGGGATTTGGAGCACTTAAAAGACATAAATACATTAAAAAGCCTTCTCTGAAACTTAAAATGTAAAATTAAGTTTCACACCGACAAAAATCATCTTGTTTTCAAAACACTCTTAATTATAGCAGAGGCTTAGGGGCAACCCTTAGTGGCCTGAAGAGAGCCTATTGTGCGTTTGATGAACCCGTTGCAGCTCTCTCTCTTTTGTACTTTTTTTTTTTTTTTTAAACACCCAGAAGTCTCACCGTTGATGTTGCTCTTTCCATCCCTCTTCAATTGTGGTCGTGTTCTGGTGGCAAGGTGCTGTCCAGTGTAAGCAAGGTCAGAATGGGTCTTTTTTTTTTTTTTTGTTGGAAGGTCAGAATAAATAGTCCCCCTCCTTGTTTGCTTCTTGTCCTTCCTTCAGCTACGTGGCAAACTGTTGATAAAACGCCAGTTTGACCCTCTCGATGTGATGGCACAGCTTGATGGCCGGCCCCAACTTCAGGTCCATGCACTCCTGCACCGTCGGCAGATTGAGCAGGAGAAGAGCCTGTCCGTCGATCTCCTACGGGCACGAAGTCGGAGCGTTGTTACGGCAGATCGGATTTACCCCGAGGCGCTTGTGCGCGCGCGTTTCCCTGTCTATCTCTTACTTGGTCCATGAAAATGCGCGCGAGAGGCGCGCAGTCGGTCGTCCTGATGAAACGAACCACATCGGTCACACTCCACTCCAGGGGGCTGGTGTCCAAGCGCAACTTTTGAGGAGGTGCTGCCTTTGACGTCTGCGGAAGAAGATCAATCGGAGACACGTTGTAATCCGAAAACTCCCGCTTAAATGTTCATCTCACAATTATTATGTTATGATGATTTTTTTTTTGTTTTGTTTTTCAAACAACGACCTTTGGTGACGGAGGGTGGTTCTCATCGTCGGAGAAAGAGGGCGAGCGAGGTTTCCGCCGCCGCCGCGTGGGCCGGGGCGTCGCGGGCGGGGAAGGGGACGGCGAGGGGGGCTGAGACTTCTCCACCGATTGTTCCGAATCGTCTTGGAGATCATCTTGCGCTTCGGAGCCGGAGTCTTCACTCAGGGAGTCGTCTTCATCAAGGTCTTCCTCTTCGCCACTGCCCTGTGAGCCGCAGACGAGAAGGTCAGTGAGGGAAGGTTTTCAAGATTTGAAAACCAAGAATAGGCTCTTCAAAAGAACTCGATCATCTATCGGGAATTGGCTTATTGTTTCACTCTGATTTTAATCGTTGATATTGATGTTTTCCGTACAGCCCTTAGGCCAGCCTGCAGTTGTTCCACCGCTCTTGAAATCAACACGAGACGAGCGGTACGTCCGGTCGCGGCGGAGGCCGGGCCGCGGGAGGAAAAGTTACCTGCGGAGAGCCGGCGGGTGTGTTATCGACGGACGTCGATGAGCGTCTCTTTTTATGGACAAAGAGCTGTTTCCTTCTCTTCCTCCTCCTCCCTCTTCTTTTCACTCCGGCCTCGAGGTTTGTGTGGCCTCCGGGCGGGCGGCCCACACGTTTGCTCTTCTTCTTCCCGTAGTAATACGCTGCTGGGAAGACACCAGACCACTGCCGCATGCATTCCAGACTTCTGATTGCCACCATTGAGATTTGAGCACGGTTGAGCATTTCAATGAAATTGCAGAACAAACGCATCTGATACCAAGGTGATCAGAAGATGAGCGCTCATGCAAAACCAAGTGCAGTGGAACCTCCAACTTTCAACAATGCCATTATTGAGGACGGATGAATGGATGTTTTCTACTCTGACTGTATATAATTATATATAAACAGAACTTTCTCACACACACACACACACACACACACACACTTAAAAGACACGCTATTTAGTGCAGTGGTTCTTAACCTGGGTTCGATCAGACCCCAAGAGTTCGGTGAATCGGTCTCAGGGGTTCGACAGAGGTTCTGCCATGAAGTTTAAGACATACCCAACGAATTCACATGCATCACAGAACGTGATGGGAATCGGCGTCTTATCCGCACGATTTGTCACGCCAAGTTGAGCAACTCGAGTCTGGCACCGACCAGCAAAAGTGAAGGAACACTTCTCGAATCCGATTTTTATGTTTCAGTCACGAAGGCTTCGGTGAACGTGCATATGAACCGGTTGGGTTCGGTACCTCTCACGAGGTTAAGAAGCAGCCATTTAGAGTTTGGTGAACCTAGCATATGCACATGTTGGGACAAGGGCGGGCCTTTTGAATCCTCCCTGAACTAAACTCTCACAAGGCACGCCGATGTCTGCCATGATGTCACACACGCCAACGGTTCCGACTGCGAATGCAATTTTCACACCGAATGTTCAATTTCCGACGTCAGGGGCTCAACGAGACTCAACGTCAAGGCGTGAGCACGTCTCCACCCGCGTGGCGAATCCGCTTACTGTATTTGGTCTTGGTGAGGACGGAGCAATTTTCCGAGCAGTGCTCGAGAACCATGCGAGGCCCGAAGAGGTTGGGACAGCACTCTAACTTGATGCAAGTCTTCCGGCAGAAGTCGGCCACGCGGTCGGCCGTGCGCACTATTTCCACCGTGGCTCGGTAGCTCTTTCCCTTGTATCTGAAACATAGGAGAAGCACAGGTTGACTTGCGTTTGTCCTTTGGGTCGTCGCAGCGTCACGTGTGAGGTATACGAGCCCAGCCGCTAGCCCTCGCGCCGTTGCGGCCGGCTATTCCTTCTGAGGAGCGAGAGGAGCTGTCCGCGGCACGGTGTTTCCTCTCACTTGGCTTTGAGAGTCTCTCCGTTGCCTTGCCAGCGACTCTCCTGGTCCAGCTGCAATTCCCTCAGCACGCGGCTCGGCTTTGTCGCCGGTCAGAAGAGTCAAAACCTGCGCAAACAGTCAAGACGACGCAACACTTGACGGTTATTTGCAAGTGGGCGGCTTTCGTCTTGATTGGTCTCCTGTGCGGCGCTGCCAGGGAGGCGCAGATTCGCGCTTTTGTTGATCGGCCATTTGGTACTTGGTTGAAAAACGGCAATCCGATGGAGCGAGCAAGTGCCCTCGCCGACGAATTCACCCATAGTACATTGCAGACAACTCATAAATATGAGTGGCGATTCCCAACTACTGTGCCAGAGCACATTTCACATTTGGAATCCTACCGACTTTCCAAATCTTTTTTGGAGGCTTCCTGATGCCTCATTCAAATTCCCCAAGACAATGTCATCCCCCCGCTCGATGTAAGCTCTCATCCGAAAAATATCAAAGATGAAAGCATGAAATATTTCAGCGTGTGCCGCGACTCCGGCTAATATGTGTGCGTGAAAAGAATGACCTCTTTGATCACAAGGACACAGTTTCCGGGCCCAATGAACTGAGGCAGCTCAGCGATGCGGCCCTTATTCAGGTACGGCCCGGAGAAACAGCGATGGTTAAAGTAGATCTTGGGACAGCAGTATTTCCCATTTCCCTGGCCTGCAAAGAGGAGAAGAACACAAGGCGTGCGCGCGATGAGTCCGGGCAACGCGGCGCCAAGACTTCTCGAGCTCTTTCACTGACCGGCCTCTGGCTGATTTGCCATCTGCGGCTTCACCGTGTCGGGCGATGACGACTTTGGCGGAGCCCTGCCGCAAAGCGACGCAAAACGAGTTTAAACGGGAAGGCCGATCGGCTGGAGAAATTCCCCCACGGCCATATTCGTACTCACTGTTTCTCCGGCTGCACCACGGCAATCTTTCTCTCATTTTCGACTGAAAGACAAGGAGAGGTTTGTTCAAAAGACATCTTTG